TGAAATTGGTAACTTCCTTGATAATAATGAAATTGATAATATAGATAAATTTCTATCAGAAAATTAATAACAAATACTAACTTGAACTATTCCACGAATATCTCTGATTCTCTTTTGGCTCTAACTCATAAGCACTCACTGAGAAGGTAATTCTAATAGTATTAGTTAAAGAATAAGACCTAATTTTTGAAGTTGTTGAGAAATTACTATATACGGGTCTTCATAATACCATATTTCAATAAGTACTATTTGATTTTTATTGCAAAGTTCTTTTTTTAGCTGATCTCGTGCAAACTGCTTTTCAAAATCTTCTTGGTTTTTATGAAAGAAAGTATGAAAACATTCATGTTGTATACCTTGAACTTCAATAGCAAAACCATATTGTGGATAGTATATATCAAGCTCAAGTCCTAATGGATGATTAGGTGTTTTTAAGAAATCTGGTCTACGAATATCAGATGGTGGGCCTAATAATTTTATTGCTATTTTCTTGCAAAGATCTTGTCTTTTTCATGAACAAAATGGACACCATGTATTTGCATTTTTTATACTATTTAAAGTTGCATACCATTCATGCTTTTTTTCACACTGCCATTTTAATTTTGTATGTGCACCATTATATATTTCAGAAAGACATAATCCTTTATTTTTAGTCGCAATTTTTCTAGCTTCATCAATGGAGAGTTTTGTATTACCTGAACAGAGAGGACACCAAGTATCTAAATTTCTTACACAACCAAGGCTTGAACTCCATTGATGCCCTTTATTACATTTCTATAAAAGCGGAGATATAATATTAGTATATTTTTCAGACAAACATTTTCCATCTTTTTTAAGAGCAATTTCTTTAGCAATATTAATATCAAGTTTAGAACGTCCTGCACATTGAGGACACCATGAATTTTGATTTTTTATTGAATTTAATACTGCATGCCAAATATGTCCTTGACGGCATCTCCATTGCAATGGAGTATGAATATTAATATACTTATCTGATAAACATTTGCCATTTTTAGATTGAGCTATATTTTTAGCTAAATCTAAACCAACTCTTTGAGTATCTACTACACATTTAGGACACCAAGAATTATGATTTCTTATCCTTTCTAAAGGAGCTTGCCATTCATGTATTTTTGCGCACTGCCAAAAAAGTGGTGTATAGCTATTTATATATTTTTTAGAAAGACAAATACCACCTTTTTTAAACGCAATTTCTTTAGCAATACCAATATTAAGTTTAAAACATTTTGCACAATGTAGACACCATCTACCTTTTTTTATATCACATAAAGCAGACTTCTATTCATGAAACTTAGCACATTTCCAATGTAAAGGACTTTTATTATTAATATAATATTCAGAAAGACATTGTCCACCTTTTTCTAAAGCAATATTTTAAGCATCAATTAATGTCAATTTGCGTCTCATTTTTTAGAAGAAACTTTGTATTATCCATCTTATTGTTTAAAATCTAATTATTAAGTATCCATTGAGGAGGTAATTGCATATCCATTATGATTTGAAGCTCTTCTCTAACAAAAGACTGCTTTGGTTTATTGCCTTCATTATCTTCGAGCCAGTATAAGATAGGCTGATTTTTTTGCACCAAAAATTCCTTAATATGATAAATTTGAGGAGACCAGTTCATATTAGTCACACGCTTAAATCTGCCTTCTAACTCACCAGGTTCAAGTAAATATCTTACAGGGATACTATAGAAATGGCGCAACCACCAGGATCATCTAGATTATCTCTATCTGAAAATCAAGCTACAATCCAAAATAATAGAATTCAGCGAGAGATTAATAATATTAGACAATATTTTCAAAGCACAGTTACAATAGCACCCACAATAAATGGTATTGTAGATTATCTTAATATTATTTCAGATGCCAATAATAGGTTTGAAAGATTGGTACTAGAAATATATCCACAAGCAAATGCTCGAGCAATTAATGCAGAAAATCGAGTAGCAAATTTGCAGACTCAGCTAATAACTTTGCAAACCCAGTTAACCAATTCCCAGACCCAGTTTGCCGATTTACAAATCCAGTTAGCCACACTTCAAAATGACTATGATCTTCTTCACCAGGCTTATGAGGCCCACAGAACACGGTATAATATATTTAAATCTCGAGAGCTTGATGGTCAAATTACAATCCGTATGCAAAAAAGGCAAATATTAGAATTGATTCTAGAAAGATTTGTATTAAGATTCAAAAATAAACGAACCCAACAGCAATTACAAGATTGTAAGACAGATGGGCAATTACTACACATCTTTTAAATCTTACAGCAAATCGATACACCAAATGGAAAAATAAATGCAAAACTCTAGAA